CAAGAGTGATTCTGCGTTGGACTTCGATGCTGTAAACGAAATTCTCCACTTTCTCGAAATTTAAACTGTCAACAGTGACGTAGGAGCCAAGGCGCGAATCTGCTGACTGTTTGTTTAATGACAGGAGATACTTCGTCTTGTCCTCGTTTACCACCAGACCCATTCGCTTTGCTTTCTTATCTAGACTACGTCATTATCGACGGGGGGTCTCGGGATCTTCTTCTCCACAACTTCCCGTGCTGCTACCATTCAGTAGGGTGGAAAAGTGTTCCCTCCCTAATTTAAGCACGTTATGAACATCGGTAACTAGGTCGCCCTTGTTGTTCTTACAGGAGTACACCCTGGACTTGAATACTTGCGTAAGTAGCCTAACACTCTGGTAAAATTCTTCCCTTCGGTCAACATTTTAAATTCTTCGCACTCACGTATTTCGACATGTCTATTCTTATTGCGACAAATACGTCTCGTTCCCTCTTCACCTCCCTATAACGGTCCCACATGGCTCGCGTTGCGCCCGATCAAATCGTGGATATGTAGGCGGCATCTTTTTTCTTGACACTTCTCGTCGTACTACATAGTTGTTATTTCGGGCTGGCTGAAATCCGACTACTTATTCGGCAGCGGTACTTAAGGAACGGGTAATGTGGTTCCACTGCTCGCGTATGTCGGATTGTTGAAGAGTGCTCTCAGTGAGCAGGTGTGATAGTCGAGTGGCGAATAAATTGGCCGTCTGTTGCGATTGCAACTTTTCGACGTTAGGCTTTCCTTGCATTTTTGGGCGCACATTTTTTGCTGCACACAGGTGGGCACGTATCTTGGCTGCAACAAGATAGTGGTCGGAGTAGATGTTTGGGCCTCGAAGCGTGCGTACGTCCAAAACACTGGAAGCGTTCTTTCGTCTACAACATGATCGATTTGGTTTCTCGTTTTTTGATCCGGAGACAGCCACGTAGCTTGGTGGATCGTTTGACGCTTAAAGCTAGTACTGCATACTACCATGTTTCGGGCCCCGGCGAAGTCGATCAGTTTCAGTCCGTTTTGTCAGACGTTTCGTCGTACAGGCTGAATTTTCCGACGGTGGTTCCAAAGATCCCTTCCTTGCCCACCCTGGCATTGAAGTCGCCAAGCACGATTTTGATATCATGTCGAGGGCAGCGCTCGTACGTGCGCTCCAATCGCTCATACAAGAGATCCTTGGATGCCTCATCTTTCTCTTCCGTCGGGGCAATGGCGCAGATAAGCGAGATGTTGAAGATTCTCGCTTTGATGCGGATTATGGCTAGATGCTCGTCCACTGGGGTGAACGACAGCCCTTTGGCGACGGAGTCTCTCTCCTACCACAAATCCAACACCGAGTTTGCGCTCCATAGCAGATGTAGTACACGTCGCAAGACCCTAGACATTGCTTGCCTTGCCCTGTCCAGCGCATTTCTTGGATGGCGGTTATGTCAGCTTTTGTCCTTACGACGACGTCAACCAGCCGGGCAGAGGCACCTTCCCCATTAAGGGTCCGGACATTCCAAGTGCATGCCCTCAAATCGTAGTCATTTAAACGTTTGCCGTGGTCGTCATCATAAGGGGGGTCTCATCCGAGGCTTTATCATGTTTCTTCACTGGAAGGAGTTTTTACGTGGCGGGTCCCAAACCCAGCGTACAACCCATTGCTGAGACGGGGGCGGTTTAGCAACCAAATACACGTTTATATAGCGAGCCGCTTGCTCAAAGACAGACACCCGCTTGCAGTCGCACCTACTGGTGAACAGACGCTGCAGACTTTAGTGAGCCCTTAAACCGAATAAATCGGAGTGGCCCCACCGAAGCTCCCTCTCATTCCGCCATGACAAAAGGCTCCACTCGGATAGGTTACCGCATCTCGCACATGGGTTGCTCACGTTGCCCAGAGTGCGCGAACGAAGACGCAAGAGTCGGGATTGAATATAGCCGCGCAACTGTAACTGCATACCCACAACAACGACTATACCCCACTGCACTCCCCCGCTTATGCTAACGTCCTGAAATTTGATATAGCAACATATGTTATCAATACCGTATTAACGGCAAAAGGTGGTAGATTTTGGAAAAGGGGGCGTGTCACCTCTCATACAAATAGAAATTGGCCCCTATTATGAGTTGCATTCGATTTTCGACTGTAGTCGAAAGTGCTGAGCGAACGAATTTTCATTTGGTATTATGGCGCTCATTCGATGAAGAATAGCGCTATTGTGAATTTCGCTCGTTTAGGTTGTTCACAATAGTATATTTTTCACCGCTGAGAAGCTTTGTTTACAAATCGAGCAAACTAAATAGTGTGCTTATACATATTTATGTAAATTTGTTCTAATTAAAATGAAGTAAAAAAGAAAGCAAGTTTATAAAAACGTGGTAAAATGAGTACAACGAGTTCTGGTTCAACGATTCGTCAGAGGATGAGAGCTTAGTAAACTGGCCAGGAGTAGCAAATGTTTAAGAGAGTTTAAGTTTATTAGTCTTTCGAATATATTTTGATATAAAATATATTTAAGAAATTTGTCTACAGATTCATTAAAAAGTTCCGACCATCTAAAGAGGCGTTTGTGAGCCAAATCTATTTAAAATATTTTAAAACTATCAACAGCGCTACGATTTTGTTCTCAGAGATCGTGCCAACAGAGTATTGGGATTTTCTTTCACAAGTAAAACCAGCCTTTCGAGCTTGTGTTTAGTATTCACGATGTTAGAACTGCATGAAATTAATAAAAATTTTTTAAAATTAGTGCGGCTAGAAAACATATACAAAATCATACATTTTTCACAATTTTCTAACACTTCGCTACACCATCGAAAGCAAAATTCTGTTCGACAGAAAATTCGATACTCAACGAAAATTTCGACACGCTTGCATAGCTCATAATACGAATTTCACTTTCGATCTTCGATAGCCAGCGAAGATCGAAATTCGAATGCAGCTCATAATAAGGGCCATTGTCATATCGGTTATCTATGTAACCACTTATGATAAGGTAATAGAATTTGTTATGTTCACATAAAATTGATAGAATCATTCAATTGGGAACCATTTTCTACCAGACTTCTAAATCGCATTGAATGATTGTTAGTTGGCGCAAATGTTTTTAGAAGGATCAGTATGTTTGTCTTCCGATAGGTGGCGCAGTGATTGAGAACTATACTAAAAAATGCTATTTATGGTCAGACTTGTTTAATCTTTGCAATATGTACATAATTGTAACATAAAATTTGGTGCAACTTGGTAGCCCAATCGCGTGATGCAAAAATATTGGGCTTTGGCCCAATCTTGACAAAAGCCCGCGTAAAACCGCAGTTAGAGAATGAAATATTATGTTTTGTTATACATACATCTTCGGCGTACCTTCTTAACTTTAGTTTATGTAGATGTTGGCAATTTAGTTTTAAACCTTCCAAGGCGCTCTCAGACCAATAAAATCAAAAAACGTATTTACAGTCTGGATTGGTATATTGGAAAATATAAAAAAAAGGTACACTTTCAAAACAAAAAGTTTTGTTCCTTAATTTGTGGGCACGCATAAGTTTTATATACATAGGATTCCATTCGTAAAATCGATAAATTTAGTGTAATTCATTTCCATCAAGTGCTTCAAAAGTTAGACGGACGAGGAGTAAACATTTGGATCGCTGAAATAAAAAACGAAGGAATAAGCTGGGTTCAAATTACGCAGTGTAAGTTGTAAATTTTTAGTGAGGATTTTGACAGTTGAACTCACTTAATTGGAACGGTCTAAATTCAATGGCTTCCCCGTTTTTCCAAATTGGATCCGGTTTTCGAGCTGGCGATAGCTGGCTGGAATGCGGACGCTGGGTTTGGAATTCAGCCGCGAATTTCCATCGTTAGATCTAATATTCTGAAGTTATTACGAGCTTTGGGGATAGGTTGGAAATGTAGCAGCAGGGGTCCACTGAAACGAGTAAAATTTTGAAATGGGTCCGAGAGCAAAAGTTTGGGAAGCTCTGATATAGATAGAAGATGTATGGTTCCGATTTTAATCTTTCATTACAATAAAATTATAGTTTAAACAACTAAAACATCGTTATTATGATTTCGATTCGTACTGTCATCAGGTATGTGACTAGAGAATAGAAATCGCTGCATCTTTTAGGCGCGTCAATATTACATAGTTACATCCCGAGCTAATAGAAGGGAGGTAAAAAAAATCCGCATTTCACATTCGTGAATGATAGGATTTTCATAGATTTCACGATACTACGATGGATTCTGTGATAGCCCTGTATATCTGGTCAAAGACTCACTCCAGCAACTTTTTGGCAAGTGCAGTGTTTGGCCGAGCTTATGCTCTAATTTGTTTCTAATTTTGATGTTACGCAAATATACCCTCTATACCCCAGAAGATAAATTACGTAGGCTTTCTTAAGTGTAGCGATTCTAAGAGGCGTACCCAAGGAGGGCTGAAAAGTGCTTCCCTGCATACCTTCTAGAAGGGCTTATCCATTTACAATTTACGCGAATGCATAACTTCATATTATTTAGCATTACAAATGAATTTCAATAAATATTTAAAGTTGAAATAACACATATTTGATATAAATCTTAAGCAAATACTTCACAGAAGTAAGATTTTTATAAATTAAAGAAGCAACTTTAAAAGGACTCTTCCAAAAGCCCTTCTGAAGTACGTCTTACTTCTTACTTCTATGGTTACGAAAGAAGCCCTTAAATTTGTGCCACTCCATTCATAAAAGCAAGGAGAAAGGAATGTAGAGTGGACGGCCTCTTGACTCTCAGGAAGGCATTTTTATCTCCTGAAATTATCTACTAGGACAGTTTACGCCGCCTCCGAACGGCAAGTGGGTTTAATGAGAAGCTTTTTCGTGGCAGGCATACACTCGGGAGGTTTGTCAATGCCTGCTGCTGTTAAGAAAAACTGCAGATGCTTCTATTCAATTTCGGCATATTTGGCACTCATACTTTCCCATTGTAAGCCCTAAATAAATGTTTGGCTAATTAGTACAATATACAAATTTTCATTCACGTTTTGTATACGTAGTATACAAGCTTTCTTTATACTTCGTCAAAAAGACACATCAAAAGTTTTATAAAAACGATAAAACGTTTAGACTTAATCGAAGAGACCGAAGCCCATATCATCGTCGGATTCCTCTGGTTCTTCCTCCTTCTTCTTCTCTTCCTTTTTGGCCTCAGCTGGTGCAGCATCTCCACCAGCAGGGGCTGCACCGCCAGCTGGGGCAGCAGCACCGACACCGGAGCCAATGTTGGTGATCAAGTCCTTAACATTGATACCTTCCAAAGCCTTGGCAAATAGACCGGGCCAGTAGGGTTCAACTTCAACATTGGCGGCCTTCAGGATGGTGGTGATTTTCTCGCCCT